AATGCCAACATGATTATACAGAAGAGGGATGCAAACAAATTTGATTACATGAGCCAATTCCATCCAAAAGTAATAGCCAGCGGCATCAGACGAGACTGACACCAAACAAATGTACTCGTCTCCCAAGAAAGCAGGGAATCTAATGTTCACAGCATGGCACAACTCCGTACGGACGCAATGAGCCTTCAATTTATGCAGCATACCAGAGCGCAGCTCTCCACTAACAATTTGTATAAGTTGTAGCAGCAATCACCATATAAATCACGTACAGAAGGAGGAGAGAGAGAGAGAGAGAGAGAGAGAGTTAATTCCTCGGTTTCTTCAATGTGCGTGACGTAATCACGTGGTAGGGAGGAAGAGCTTTCTGAGGCTCCGAAATGTGGAGACGGCATGTGGGTTTGCATGGGGGCACGTCAAGGTTTCTGGTCTGGCACGTGCGCTACATGCCGATCGAGGCAGGGGGTTCTACGACTGAGGCGGGAAGCTGAGATGATGACGACGACGATGGAAGACGGTGACTGTTTGTGTTTGTGGGCATATGGATTCGGCTCCCACTTCATAGCTAGCCATCTCTGCTTTGGTCTCTTTCTCTGTTTTCTTCGTGTCATGGAGTTCATCGCCTCCGCGCAGCGGAACCTATCAGCGGTACGCCCTAGCAATCCTCGGAAAGAGGAATTCCTTCCTTCTTATCTAGGGGGTGCAAGGTTGTGGCATTAGGATTTGCTCGCAACCATGGGCATCAGATGGCAGAGTCCAGAAGAGAAAGCTCTCGATGTGAGCGAGAGGAGGTGTGAAATATTGGCGCAGCAAGTTAGAAAGGGACAGGGCTAAGCTTGGTAACTCTTCCTTCCTCCATGGCTGGACTGAGTCCTGCTATCTCGATGCATGCATGGCATGGACATTAAGGTTGCAGTCACGGAAGAAAGGAAGGTGGGCGCCACTCCTGGGAATGGTCTTGCGGATCCTCCGTGGAAAATCCAAACCAAATTCTCTCTTCTCTGGTGCGCTAACCACGCACTCATCAGTTGGTAGCAGGGCGACCATCGACCTTCCTGAATCGGTGCAGAGGACCAGAACTCGACCGGTGTACTACGATGGAGCGATGCGATTGCTGCGTGCCAACCGACTGCTGTTGTGATCCTCTTCGGCGAAAGATGGGGTTTGACTTGGAAACAGTCGTAAAAACACCAAAATGGGTTGACTTGGTGCGGTGGGCAGATGGACTCTCTACCATCCCTTTTCCACGCCACGAGGCTGTATTCAATTATTCATTGTCGCCAATGAACACGAGGAAGTCTGCTGTAAACACCATCCAGCTTGGAGGGGACTCGAGCTGTTCCAGGCCCATAGATCATATGGGCCACAGTCCGTAATAGATGGCCCAAGCCCAATCATGGTGGTGGGCCACAGTTCGTAAACACCATTCCGCCGGTCTTGAGTTGGATAGACAGAACATTCATTTGGGAAGGCAATTGAGCACCTTGAATTTTGTGAAAATCACAAAGTATAATATATATATATATATATATATGTGTGTGTGTGTGTGTGGATAATTAATGACCATATGCAACTGGAATCGACCTTCGTCTTCGTAAAGGCAATGACTCGTGAAGTATACGAGCAACGACTCTTCTGCCTTGTTAGTGGGAAAAAAAGTACATAGACACCAACGTATATTTAAGTCGTTTACACACTCCGAGGTGATTCGCTGAGCCGACATGAGTGTGCGTGTCATGTCGAGGAATCAGCGTGCAACATTTCAGAAATCCATTCTCGTCTCCGGAAACGTAATGGAACATATTAAACACTGAAGAGACAATTAGCAAATTCTTCTGCCATAGAGAACAAAGATGGGACGGCAAAGTCCTCTCGCTCTCTCTCTCTCTCTCTCTCTCTCTCCCTATCTTCTCACATCGTAGCATCTAAGGCGCAGGATGAGAAAACAAAGGATTCTGTACCCGCATATGAAAGCAAGCATCACTCCCACATGGCTCCATCTTTGAGACTCCACCACGCCCTGCTCCCTCAAGAACATCCCTCCGTCGAGAGCGCACATGTTTCCCTCCCACTCCAAGCATTCCCTTCTTCCCCTTACTCCACCATACTCGTTCAACACGAAAGCCTCGAACGGATACTTAAAGAAGCTGAGGTAGTGCATGAAGATCCAGTACCTGGGTATGTTGTCTTTGGCTATGAAATAGCCCGAGAAGAGGAAGAAGGAACCCATCAGCCCCGAGATGACGGAATTGCCCATGATGAAGGTTGGAACCAGGGCGCTGAAGCACGCGACAAAAGAGTTGGCCATCAGCATCACCAACCATATCACCAAAGAGAAGTAGAGAAACTTATCCATCTCCCTTCTCAGTCCCACCAACCAATACACTGGAGTGGCGTATAAGAGTGCAGCTACTAGAAGAAAAGGCATGAAGACAAGCGCATTGGCTATGACATAGGAGGACACCCTGTAGGCCCCTCTCGAGGTCTCCCTCTGCAGAATCCTTCTCTCCCGCAAGAAGATGGGCAAGCCTTCGTTCGTGGAGGACAGAAGAAAGGTGAGGCTGAACGCGAAGAAACCCACCCTGGCTTGGAGGTTGCTTACGTTTATGAAGATTGTTCCGAGGCCGAACCCAGCTGCGATGGATTGGATCACCTTCGCGGTGAACAGCTCCCGGGTCCTCGAAGCGTTCTTGAAGAACCGGCTGGTTAGAATGAAAACCTCGCCACACCGCGAATTGGCGTAGAAGATTTTGTCTTCTTTGGTGCTGCAGTTGGGAGCTCTGATAACCTCTTCTTGGGGAGTAGTGGGCCCTGAGTCCAGGCTAGCCATGGCATCCATGGCGAACTCCAGCACATTGACATGAGGAGGAATGCGATGGCCAGCCTCCCTCAGCCGACTCTCCAATAGCGCGATCGGCCCCTGGTGGTGAACGGTTCCGCCGGCGATGAGCAAGACCTGGTCGAACAACTCGAGGATCCGAAAGCCCGGCTGATGGATGGTGAGGACAATGGTCTTTCCCTGGACAGACGCCATGGACTTGAGCAGCTTTACAATGTGGAGGGCGGAGGCCGAGTCCAGCCCGGAGGTCGGCTCGTCCAGCAACAGCACCGCCGGATCATGCACCAAGTCGACCCCGATGGAAACCCGGCGGCGCTCACCGCCGGAAATGCCGCCAGCTCCGTGGCCGCCGATTCTAGAACCGGCCACATGATCCAGACCCAGCTCTTTGATCAGCTCCCTCACGCGGGCAGCGGCCTCGCCAGCCGTCGCGTTGAGCCTCAGCCTGGCGCTGTATGCCAGCGACTCCTCGACCGTCAGCAGCGGGAAGAGCGCATCGTCTTGCGTGACGTAGCCGGATACCCTTCGAAAGCGGGACACGTCCATGGGTCGTCCATCGACGAGTATGTCGCCGGAGACTTGGCTCGGGTGTATCACGCCGGCAAGAACGGAGAGCAGCGTGGTCTTTCCAGCTCCGCTCGGGCCGACGATCGCCAGGAGCTCACCGGGAAGGGCCTCACAGCACACGTTCTTCAGAATAGACCTGCAGGTGCTGGGAAAGCCGCAGCAACGCAGGTGAACGTTCCGTGTGGCGGTCGAGAGGTCGTAGGACAACGACTTGGTTTCGATGCGGTATCGGGGTCTCCGGCTGCCAAGATTCAGCGTTTGCAGCTCCATGGAGGAGTGAGGAGAAGCACCGAGTGTCAAGAGGCAAAGAGGAGAGTAGAAGAAAATGAGAAGGGCAGGGCAAGAGGTTGAGCTAACGCACCAAACCTCACCGCTATAACTTTTCTCGAGCACAATAGTGCTTCCTGGATGGCGGACGCCTCGTTTACAGGAACAGCGTGCGAGCCCTGCGGAGGGTCGGTGCTTTTTTGACACGGTTTATAGCGCTGCGTCTTTACCGTGGGTTTGCTCAAACAAAAAGTTGCACCGACCGCAACATTGTGTTTGGCGAAACAAATTAATTGGAGTACGTTGCAACCATTGTTCGGGCGAGCGACAAGCTTGACCGATCACAGCGCGGAGTTGGTGGAGTTTGCTTAGGCCGCACCGTTCTCCGTGTAACGATCGCCAGAAAACAAAATGGGACAGAAGGTTTAGACCAGAAGCCGTTGCAAGGGAGTTAATATGGCCCGGCGGATCGCAGACGAACGGCATGTGATGCGGACCATCATCTTCATCCGACGCTGACACGGAAGCTAAACTTTGGTGAACCACTCACTGTCCTTTTCTTTGTTTTTTGTCTTTAAATAAAAATAGTTTTATTATATTAAATAGTTTATATGATGGTTGATTTGAAACTAATTTATGCAACAAATGCACTCTCAACGGAGACAACCACACAACTCTTTTTTTTCTTTTCGTGGAGCAGTTTTTAAGAGACAACCAAATCGAGTCGGATTGTATTAATTTAACTATATCTAATTAATACTTAATATAAAAATATTTATATGTGAAAACGTAATAAAGAATATTAAGAGAATAATCTCACACTAATAAATATCGAAAAAGTCCGGATGACTGAGATCAAATTTTTTTTTTTTTTAATAAACCTACGGTACAAACCATAGAAGCATGAAAAGAAAATGGGCCAACAAATTTGGCAGTTATTTCTGGGAGATTTAGAAACAAAACCAAATGAGATGGATTTTATCAGTTTGTGTCTGTATCAAAAGGAATTTTTTAATAAAAAGAAAAAGGAAAAACATCAATCATTTTATTGTGAAACAAGAAATCGAATGAGTATAATGCCATGGGACTAATACTCACAGGTATACCAAAATCCGTGGACCCGAAGACTGCTACAACAAGACAACTTATCCAAACTAATACGAAACCTTCTTCTGCGGAAGGGGATATCTTATGGGCACACGTTTGAAAATACCATCTTCCTCCCAAAAAAAATATTGAACGGAGGGTTAAATTACAGAGATGCGTGGATGTTATGATCGACTAATGTTTCCAGTGCAAGTGAATGTAGCAATCCCTTTGCTTCGTACTCTTCTTTCTTGTTTATGTACGTTCTGTACATTTTTTTAATTAGCTACATGGATTCTTTTGGGTTGAGCTCCTAAATTTAAATATGATCCTTTTCATGTCCAGAAAATAATTAAGTGGCAATCCTGAAGGAGCACTACACGATGAAAAGATCTATGAAATGATGGAGGGGGTTGTTCCCATGAGGAGGGAAGCAAAGAGAAGAACATTCCAAGTATCGGGCAATCCTGGAAGGCACCAATGGCTGCAGTCGGCATATCTCGCGGGTTCCTTCCTCTGCTCCGCCGTTAGCAGCTTCCCTTGCCTGGATGTGTAAATGGATGTGTGCGCATCTCGCCGGTACTCCGACAGCCGTGTGATGTTCAGATACGTCACCGGGGTTCTCATCTTCCCGATGGTCGTCTCCGCAAGCGACACCATGGATCTCGGAAACTGCTGCAGATAAGTGTCGTTGGTGATGGGGTGGGTCTGGTTGTAGCACCAGTGTAAGTTTTCCCTGCATGAATACGCACCAGAAATGCAATTATGACACCAAGTTGCAAGTCCTACAGGAGCTGGCTGTTCCTGAGGCTTTGTGGAGGCTGGCTACAGGAGCTAGCAGTTCAGAATATGGCTTAGTAAAGTTTAACTATGTTGTTGTTTGGAGGTGCTTCCATGGCAAGGCATGACATGATTGATTCTACAGACGCTCCATGAGAACATGCTCGCCATCCTGTATGCAACAGCTTGGGAAGGAGAGAGTAGTCGGCCATAATATAGACAGACTTGTAGGTCTTTGGATTTCTCAACCGTTGCATTGTGTTGGCAACCATGGAAGCTCAACTCTTTTATATATACATATATATATACATATATATATATATATATATGTATATATATGAATTTACGCGTGTTACTGTACGAAGGCAACACATTTGATGACACTCTCACCTTTCTTTGTAAAAGGACGCTGATTGATCGTAGTGGGACCCAGAAAAGTTTCTGAGATAGACTCGGTCAAACCAAAGAAGAACTCAGCATTCTGGGCACAAGAGTTGTGGGTCCGATGTACGTACCTCTTGTGTTCGGGCGAGATGCTCCTGAAGAAGACGGCGGTCCTGGCCGGGTCCACGTTTCGGTCGACCCACTGCGCCCAAGTCCGGAGTGCCCTTTGGAACGCCTCCTCCGCTTCCATGTCCTCCATCAACCCTTCGCTGCACTCGAAGTAGTTCCACCTGTAGCAGGCAGCATGCACATCCGTTGTTATGCAACTAAACAAAGCTCGTACCGTCAGGTGCGTGTGAGAGAGAACGAGATAGGGTGGTGTGTACACCACTACTCACGCCCTCATCTTGCCGCGGTGCGTCCACCAGTGGCCGGTGTTGAACACCATGACGTCGGCACCCAGCCATCGGCGTTCTTCTGCCGGGAGCTTGTCGAGCCTTAGGATCTTGGCATGGTCTTCCCTTTCCTTCAGCTCTACCAGGAAGGGGCTCCAAAAGAACTCCACCGAGCAATCATAATCCTTGAGGGAAAAGACAGGAAAATAGTTACGAGACAAGGCTTGACACAGATTGTTAACCTAAACTTTGACATTAGGCATTGGACGAATCATTACTCGATTAGTTAATCTGCAGTAATCGATTAGAGAGTTTGAGACAAACTAAGTAGAGAAAACTTGAAGGTTTTCAAGTATCAGCGCTACCTCAGCCACAAGTATTGATTGATTGAATATGGATCAGACGTGGATTGGCATATTAATAGTACCCAAAGAAAAGCTTGGAAGGGGATTCGATTATCTAAATTGTTAGCGGATTTTAGAACCGATAAGATCAAGTTTATGAATACATACATATATACCATCATCATCGTCGTGATACTTGATCAAACTAAAGGCGATTCATATCAACGTCTCACGAGGGCTGGGCTGGTGGGACTGGTGACCTAACAAGTACTCTCTCGCCTAGCGTGTCGAGAGTCAATTGGAGACAGATTAAGGGTGTGCAAAGTCAAGACAGATTAGCCGCTCCCTCCATGATTGAGCCACTCGTACAGCACTTTGCTTCGACGAAGTACACCAAATCCGAACCTACCACGCCACGTGTTAAATTCAATCGATTCGGGCGTCGATGAACTTACTTCCGGTACATCAAGTGCACACCAGCTTGTCAGCTACTAAGTGCTGTGTTCTAAGGTTAGCAAATTAGGTGCATCATGCACGACCTTCCTTTCTTCTAAATAAAATGTTTGCTGTTCCACTTTTTTCAAACACTATCAAGTCATCGACTAAAAACTTGTCCTAATAATATTCTTCCATGATATAAAAACTTGCAAGTCATCTAAAAACTTTTCCAAGTGCAATTGTTCACATCCAACCAAAGCATATATTTCAGAATGATTCAGTGAAGGAACTCAGCTTTTCTTTCTACTTTGGCTTTGGGTGCACATTTATTATTATTATTATTATTGTTGTTGTTGTTGTTGATGTTGGGGTGAAATGTAGTACCTCATGACAAGTACTATTCTATTAGATCCATCGTTAAGCAAGTGAACAGTTTATACAAGTGTACGGGTAAATTGATACTGATCGAGCAAGCAGAGTAAGTACGGCAACGTACCAGGGCTCGGAACACCTTGTAATCTGAGCCGTGCAACTTGACGTCGGCGCGCTTCCGGCGCACCGACGAGTAGAGCATGCAGGCGAGCGACTCCCACATGTTCCTGTTGAGGGAGTCACCGACGATCACCACTCGCTTCCCTCTCCACCTCTCCAGCATCTCGCTCCCATTAAACCTTCATTGCAAGAATTTTCAGAATCGCAGAACGCAGCAGATGAGGCAGAAGCAATTGAACCGAGCAGATTCCGTGTAGCAGTTGATGATGGCATGAGAGCTGCTGACCTCGGAAGGTCGCAGCCATTAGGCTGCCACCGCCAGTGCTCGTAGTCGGAGTCGGGCCTGCCGTTCCTCTGGCAGCTTACTTGGTCGGTGAGAAAGGGGCACCATTGCGACGGGTAAAGAGGGTACCTCTTCCGGTCGTACACCCACCTGCCGTCGAACACGTCGCACTTCTTCTTCTCCTTCACCACGTTTCCCTCTTCGGTGGCGCGAGCTGCCGGTGTCGTCGCTTCGGCTGTAAGGATTTCTTTGGTTGTGATAATTTGTGAGGAGTAGGAAGAAGTATTTGCATCGACATCATTAGACTGCTTAGGTGGAAGCGCCATGATCGGAGACCCCGAGGAATTCGTGACATGCACCAGGCTAGAATCCGGAGACGGAAGCTCTGCTTTGTCGGATGGTGAGAAGGCCATCCCTGCTACCGCGCTGGGCTGTGGAGACGCATCCGCCTCGGTGGTTGCCCGTGGGTACATGGCCGCGATGACCGATGGAGGAGTAGGCGTCGGCTCCAACTTTTGCACAAAAGCTTCACAAGGCGCGGGGGCAGTGCTGACAGGTGGAACCTCTACATAAGTCTCTGCCGATGCTTCTGCAAGCGAAGGCACGGTGGAGGGCTTTTTGCTTACATGAGCAGTGCCGTCGAGGTCTGGAAAAGATGCGATGGTCGTGCTCGGGCGGTACACTTTCTGAAGGCTGTAGGAGATGAGGAGATAGCCGAGGAAGCAGGCCAGGGTGCAGAGCAGCCACTTGCGGTTGACGAGGGGAGGTGGAAGGGACTCCATGCGAGCACGATACCGCCTCCGGAAGCTGGAGTCAATGCTTAGGAGAGAAAGCACTTGTCGTTTTGGTTGGGGGATTGGTTAGTGCATGTTGTACTTTTTGTCTTGTTTTTAAACAGTTTGATCCTTTCTTCGAGGACGCCATGACGGAACTTCACATCTCAATCCTTTTTAGGTCTTGAAGTCTCCTGATCTGGCTCCAGAATGGGTCGGATTGTGGCAGCCTTGGCACAGACGAGCTGGTGGTGCATCCTCTGCGGCCGTATGCGTTTTGTAGGGTTGTCAGGAGAGGGGAGAAATGGAGAGAGTAAGGGTTTTGGTGCACCCAAACCGTTCTTTTCCGGCTGTCTTGGGGAGTAAAGTTGCAGAGGAGTTGGTGTGACAGCAGACTAGTTGATGGGACGGACTAGAAAAGGCAAGACGGACAACTATTTATTGCTTCTTTAATTACTATATTTCCGTTTATTAATTTATTTATTTATATATTTGTTTTGATTTCCAACACTCATATATTTATTTTTATATTTTTCCCTTGATTTAAAAATTGGGTTAAATGGATTTGGAAACATATCGATGAAGGGAAGTACCAAATATGGTCATCATGTATACCTTAATTTCTTCTTTCCTAATACCATATTTATATTTTATTTAATGGAATATTTGCAATTTTGTTGTTTTCGTGTATGTCGTAATAAGTTTACCCGTAAGTTCAAGTTGTCAAAGAATAGAGAGTTATGTGTGTTATTCCGTCTGTATATACTCTTGTGGCAAAAGGAATACGCATATTTACATCTATAAATATGCTTTTGACTGGTGCATAGTTCACATCGAAAATACACTATGCAACTTTTCTACCGAAATTGTTCTCTTCGTCTCTTTCAAACCCCAGTGGTTATTTTTCGTAATAAAATAAATTATTATTCTCCCGTTGAATTCAGAGTGTAATAAAATAAATTTCATCACGTACATAAAGTTAATAATAATAATCCTCCAACATTTATTAAACTTGTTCTTTGGAAATATCAATATAGTTCAAACTCCTCCTATCCATCCAGGATTTTGATATAATAAAAGTACATAATCTTGTTCATATGAATAGAATAAATCACAAAGAGAATAATGTTACCTACCATTATCTACCTATTCGTTTATCGCTATTACTGGAACATAGAAATTATTTGGCCTCTCTTCGTTCGTGGAGTCCTTCCCTCCGTCCGCATGCAAGAGAATGAATATGATAATGATTCGGTTCCGTGCATCTTCTTCTCCTGGGGATTGGTGACGCACACGTAACGTGAGATCCGTTCTCGATGAGTGTGAATTATATACGTTTGATACACAGCACACGAAGCATGAGGGTAAATGGACATCTGGATTGACAATTATGGATCATCAAACTGTTTGACGAAGACGACCAAGAAAAAAATGGCTGGCATCGAGATTGAAGAGTATGTGTTCGTTGTCTGCTGAATTAAAGTGCAAAATCATGGAGAAATGGGAACCGGGAAGCCAGGGATTGACTTGGGCAACCCGAGCATCGTAGCTTCCTATTGCCTGGGTGATCATTGGATCTAACAATGACTCTGCCACTTTAATAATAGCAGAAAGTGCAGGATGGATGGGATGTTTCGAATTTGGCAAAGCTATGCAATTATGGGCGGCAGAGAAGATGGTGTCGCCTTGCATCAAATGGCAAGCTAGATTTGAAGGGCGCGGCGCCCCACTTAAAATCAACGTATCACCCTAAGAAAGCGTTCTTTTTTCTACAAATAAAGGGTGAAAGGAAACAAAATCTGGTTCTAATAACATAAGATCACAACACAGTCAATGGTCACTTGTTACGGTTGGCGGTGCTTGTCACTCGCAAATGTCTTGCCGAGGAAACTATCGACGCTATGGACTGCTTTCACATGATTCGTTGCCGACGCCATCAAACTTGGCTTGGACGTCAATGGTTCCCGTGACTTCACAAGCGTGTGTGGTTTCGAGTGGCTAAAAAAGAAAGGGTTTAGAAAGTAACATCTCTTTTTCTTCCTATGGCTTTATAACTGGTAGCTTTCGGTAACGAGGACGAGGAAAGGAAGAAGGAAAGAAGCGTTGGAGAAGCAAATGAAAAGAAAAAAAAAAAAGAAGAGTGAACGCGAGGAAAGAGAAGAATAAGACGAGAAGGCGGCAGATGATGTCGAGAACTTAAAAAGTATATTTTGAAAAAATTATAAATTAATATTTTATATTTTAAATGATATTAGATCGAGTTTTAGGGATAAAATTTTTTAATTTAAAATATATTTTAGATAGAGTTATAGAGATTACAGACTCTTGTAATTTATATCCATAAATATGTCACAAATCAATTTAAGTTTCAAGTATTAAAGTCAAATTTAAGAATTATTTAATATCTCTAATTGTTTTTCTTTTTGAGAAGTTTTATAAAGCCTTTTTTTTTTCCGCCTTAGTTTTTTCTCCTTCTATTTGATTTGATATTGGACTAGTATTACCTTGTTACTACTATTTGATAAAGGGTTGTACTTACATGTGATCATCTCTTTCTTCACGTACTCTTAGAGCCATAAGAGTGGTAATATATGCTTTAAAGATCTTCTTGGTGAAAAAGATAATATTTTTCGATTATAAAATATTATAATCAAGTTGATGGATTTGGTATTGAACTTTTTAATTAGTCTAACTACCATAAACTTATTTGGAGTCTTATCCCATGGGAAAGATCTATAGGATGTGGTTAGTGTCAATGCAACAACAGCATCGATGGAGACACTACGAAGAGATGTAGGACTTTAAATGCAAATGTTGAATTTATATTAAAAAGATATATTTCTCATGATATCTTTGAATATGTTATTTATTATAAATCAACTTCGGATATTTTATCTCTTCGTGTATTGCTTAACAAAAAGAATATGGTTTGACAAATACTAACTAAGGCGATCTCTCAATTTCTCAGTATTTTTTAAAGATTAAAAATTTATATTCAGAGATATCACTCTTAGATTCATATGACCCTTTATTTGATGCACAAATAAAATATTATATTATTCGTTGTCTTTAAAAATAATATATTCCTTATGTTACAACTATTCAAGGATAGGTTCGTAAATTGTAAGAGAGGACTAAGGAGATTTACAGTAATGTAAATTGCACAAATGAAAAGTAAACTAGAATTTAGAGTGGTTCGATCAATGTGACCTATATCCACTTTCAGATTCCTCCTCCGACGAGGTCTCCAGCGTCCACTAAAGGCCTTCCTTCAATAGGTGAAGGTCAACCACCTTTTACAGCTTTTTCTTTTTTTATCGGGTTTAGGAGACAACCCTTACAAGTCTCACTCCTCTTTTTTGGATGGTTACAAGGCTAAGAGATGAAGGAGGAGAACTTTTCACTTTTACAACACTTTAAGGCTCAAGAACTCAAGATTATGCCAATAGCTTTCGTGCTCTTTCATGCAGAAAAGGATGAGGTTTTTATAGGCCCTAATGGCTTTCAAAAATGGAAACAAAAAGTGTCTTATCCTAGATTTTTAGGATACTTACGATACCACCGTCATTACTGGGCGGTACTACTGCTTGACAGATCTCGAAGACCGAGCTCTAGCGGTACCATTGTTGGCAGTATTTACTGCCGACGGTACCACCGCCCAGACCACCTAGGAGACTGAGTCTCCCAAGTAGTGCCACCGTCGACTAGGCATTTAAGTGCTGAATGGGCTGATCAATTCGGCATAATTCAACCCTGTTAAGGGCCTAGTTGGCCCCTAATTAAGTTAGTGAGATTATCGCCTAATTATAACTTAATCTACTATCTAACTATAATTACTAAGACATAATCTAAGGCACTCTTGTTCCAGTACGTCAATTACTCTTCCGACGAGCTTCCGGCAATCTTCCGGTGATCTTCCGACGAACTCTTAGCAATATTCCGGAGGACTCCCGGTAAGCTCCTGGACTTTACGATGATCTTCTTGGCGAGTTCTGACGAGCTTTTTTGGCAAGCTCCTAGACTTCTCGGTTGGTTTCGGTAAAACTTCCGACGAACGTTTGGACTTCCAACGAACTCTTGAACTTCCAACGAGATCTCGATCTTGACTCCGGTACAACACCTGCTTTATGTCTTACTGCTATCGTAGTTAATCCTGCATACTTTTTTCTCAACATATAGATTAGATCAAATAATTTATAATTGACTTCATCATTAAAATTCGAGATTTAACAATATATGGATCCACAAACACATGTATACGTGGTATCTCAAAATATTATGTTTGATAAAGTTTCATGTTATTATTCTTCATAAATAAATTTTTTTATATATCAATCACAATAATGAAAGTAGTACATATTGATTTCTTTGTCATCTAATGCTATTATAAATTTTTGCATATATGTATCTATTCCTATTATTTCTTCATCATTAATGATGGAGCAAAGCGATAGGGAGAGTAATGATGTTCATGAAGAGAAAATTCTAACATGGAGAAGATCAAAAAGAATAATTATCAAACTATCATAGTAGAAGATGGAGACAATATAAACATTTGTCACTATTTATTTTTTGAATCAATTAATAATTTTGAGCCAACTTGTTTTGACGAAGCCAAATGTATTAAAGTATGGGAGGATGCCATGAATGAAGAAATGAATATTGTTTATAAAAATAAAACTCGAGATTTTTACTATGGATGTTGTCTTTTGCATGAAGTCCAATTAAAGATTTCAATGGTCTTTCATATAGTAAATTTGGATCAAGCTATGGGTTAACAAGTATTCCCAATAGTCCTAGAAGATTTGGTCGAGATCGTATTTCTACATGATCTCATATTTGGTGGTAGTTATGGGCGTGACCTTATAGATATAGTCCTAAAAGTATACTTTAAGGAGGAATGTTAAGAAATTAAAAGTATACTTTGGAAGAACATAAATTAATATTTTATATTTTAAATGATATTAGATAGAGTTTTAGGGATAATAAATTCTTGGTTTAAAATATAGTTTAGAATATTTCAAACAAGATTAGATAAAGTTATAAAGATCATAGGCTCTTGTATTTTATATTTATAAATAGGGATATCTATACGTAAACCAATTCAAGTCTCAAGTATTCAAGTCAAGACTAAAAATCATTCAAGATTTATAAGTTTTTTTAAGAAATTAAATATTTTTTCACCTTGATCTATTA